GCTGCTCAGCTCGGGCTGACTCGAACCACTGTTGCTCAGAGCTCAAACTCTTGAGCGAGCTCTTAACCAACTGAGCCACTCAGCCGGCCCTTCTAGGTTATATTTTTTAAGTGGATGAAAAAAGCCAAGTGCGAAACAGTGTGTATACTATGATTTGTGTTCAAGGGACAAAAAAAAAGGTGTGTGTGTGTGTGTGTGTGTGTGTGTGTGTGTGTGTGTGTGTGTATTTATACATGTGTAGAACATCATTGAAGAGATACACAAAAAAACAAATCTCTGGGGCAGGGAACTGGGAACAAGGGTGAGAGGGAAGCTTTCACTCTAAGCCTTTTGTTCCCACTCGAATTGTGAATGAAGGACATGTATTATCTATTCAAAAAGCAAGCACATAATTCATATTTAAACAAATAAACAATAGACTCCTGTAATAATCTTAGCTTAAAAAATTTGATTACCTGGAGTAACACTGTCCAATAGAACCTTCTGCAACATCCAACACAGCAGCCGTGAGCCATGTGTGGCTTTTGAGCACTTGGAAGGTGGCTTTTGCAACTGAACAACTAAATTTTATAATTTCCTCTAATTTTCCTTAATTTACACTTAAATAGCCATGAATGGCTAGTGGCTTGCACATTGTCTGGGTGCAGATCTAGAATATGTGGCTTAGAGTCTCTCTTCTGTTTCTACCTAAGGCTTACATGTGTTTTAGGAGAAATAATTATCAGTGTAGGCTCTCAGGGTAAAAAAAAAAAAGTATTACTGCAAATCTAAGAAAATAACTACATTTTTTTTCTTGCGCTAGTACTTAATGCCATCACACATTTCTTGAAATAAGTGACTGTTAGTCAAATTTGGAAATCATCTTTATTACCCAGGAAAATCATTTTTATGGAAACCGTCTGCTGTCTTCCTTGGAAGCAGTCTATTTTTGAGAGGTTCATTTTCTGGTCTGTAACACAAGCCTATTTGTGCGTCTCCGCCCAGTGTAATGTACGGGCGCTTTGTTCTTGAGCCCAGCAGCTGTTGCGAGGCTAGGGGACAGTTTGAATTCTTAGCCAGCAGCTGCCAGGAGCGTTTCTAATCTGGTTTTGGCAGGAAATAGTGCACAAGTGGAAGCCAAGTTAAAAGAAGCTTGAAAAATAAACAGAATGACTCTGGATGCCACTTAATATATAGTCCATCTTTCCTGTGAAGTTCTCCCCGGTAACTTGTTAACAGCATCACTAAACAGTGAGCCCTCCCGGGCTGGTCTGTGTCTAATGTTTTTGAAACCCAGGGTCTATGCCAGTAGGCGGTCATATTACTACTACTATTATTATTTTTTTAGTGATTGATGATACTGCAAATTTGTTTAATTGATTTAGTTAGTTGTTTAAAGCTGTTGTTCATCCAGTGTAGCTCATTGTAGATAATTCATGGTGATGGGTACCACCTCCCCTTTCCACTACACAGAACTGCCCACCCTCTCCTCTAAAGTAAGACATTTGAACAATCTTTCAACATTATTATTCATCCATTCTGCAAGCTAGCTTATTTTTGTTGCATGCCGGGAATAAGCACATCCTGATTTAATCTATCTTCCCTACAAAGTAAGAAGTTTTCACAAGGTGAAGGCATAGGTGTAAATGTGGTACCTTTTCAAACAAGGCAAAAATTGCTCACATTGGTATACCAAAGAAATGATTTTTTTCTTTCTTTTTTTTTTTTTTTGGTCTCTAAAGAGGAAATTTTACTAAAATCTTACCTTAAGCCTCAAATCAGTCTTCCCACCCAATTTTGTGTCATGGTCCAAGGAGCTCCAGCCTCTTAGACTCCCCAGAATGAGTGAGATGTCACGTGTTGTCCCTGCTGAGGGGTCTGCCTGCTGGCGGGGCTGTGCTAAGCTGCGTGTGGTTCTCATTGCAGACATTCACTGCCTGGTGTAACTCCCACCTGAGGAAAGCTGGCACCCAGATTGAGAACATCGAGGAAGACTTCAGGAATGGCCTGAAGCTCATGCTGCTTTTAGAAGTCATCTCAGGTTGGTCTGAAGCATTTTCCATCGGTGTTGCCCACCTACCCTCTCTGCGTGTGGGCAGTACATCCGCCTCTATGTAAACATGACTGCATCACAGCTTCCCTTGGAACCTGGCTAGGCCAGAACATGGTATTATTGGCAAAGAAACCCTTTCAAAAAGCAATCTGCCTGGAGTTCTTTTTCTGTTTAAAAGGGCAAGAATTCTGTTTAAAATTGACTTATTAAAATAATGTTTATACCACGCACCTGGTAACAAAATAAGGAAAGAAAAAAATAACATTTATATGACTATCCACCATGCTGCCCTCTCCACTCTTAGTTTAGCTAGTGTGCATTCCAAAAATTGTCTATCATGTAAAAAAGCCAGTGTACATGCTGGCAAAACAATGGAAACAGGAGTTCAATCCCAGAGGGTTTATGCTTTGCCCTGAATATCAGTTGGCTGGTTTAGACTTTGGACTAGAGAGCGGGTCACCCTTGAAGAAGTGTGACTGGGAAGGCAGATGGCAAGTCTGCTGGGTCCATATATCTTCATAATCAGATGTCTGAGACGAGCCCTGGCAGCCACCTCTGTGATTTGAACTAGGATGCCCTGAGTTCGTCTGACAGCTAGTCAGCAACCCCAATGCTCCAGTGACTCCAAGTAGCTTCTGTCTTTACTCATTTGTAAGTTGGTTCATAGGCTGAAACGGACACTCCCAGCAGATCTGAAAAGCATATGGCCTTAGTAGCGTGGCTCCCCACCGGCCCATTTGATCTTGAAAGTTTTGCGGTTAATGTTCCCTCTGTCCTATGATTCAGGAACTGGGACACATCAGAAACATAACTATTTCCACTTAAGGAAAGCACGGACTCTGAATTTCAACATCTTGATTCTGCCTCAAGGGGTTGCTTTCTCTGTCTACACTGTTCCTTTTTTATCCAACAGGGGAAAGGCTGCCCAAACCTGACAGAGGAAAAATGCGATTCCACAAAATTGCCAATGTCAACAAAGCCTTGGATTATATAGCCAGCAAAGGCGTGAAACTGGTGTCCATCGGCGCTGAAGGTGAGCTGTGATGGGAATAACCCTGATACCACACTGACCTCAGGAGGGGCTGTGAGCCTGCACTGGATGTCAGGCTCTCCACTAGGCCCTGAGCACACAGAGATGAGGACAGATGTGTCATGAATGGCAGACCAGTCTCTAGGGGTATTTGTAAATAATAGAGTCAAATATAATGCCATCTTCATACCAATTATAGGAATGAGAAAGAACTTATACATCCCAATAACTCTTCATGAGAACTAATTGATAGGAAGGACGTGACCTCTTCCTTCTCTGAGGGAGATCGGGAGTCCTGGTGAGTTTGGCAGGAGCTGAGACAACCCTCCCTCTCACTATACACGACTGTGTCCATGAACCTGCCAACTGGGGAGCTGGAAGAGGGACCAGGATAAAGATGAGCCTATGTTCTCGGTATTTCATTATGGTGGTCGCTCATATCCACAGTTTCACTTTCTGCAGTGTCCATTACCCATGGTCAACCACAGTCTGAAAATATTAAATGGAAAATTTCAGAAATAAACAATTCATAAGTTTTCAATTGTGTGCCATTCTGAGTAGCATGATGAATTCTTGCACCATCTTGCTCCATCCCATCCGGGATGTGAATCACCCCTTTGTCCCTTGTACAGGCTGTCGATGCTTCCCGCCATCATGAACTTAGTAGCCATCTTGCTTACGAGATCTACTATCACTGTGCTTATGTCCAACTCACCCTTATTTAACTTAATTATGGCCCCAAAGCATAAGAATAGTGATGCTGGCAATTTGAATACGCCAAAAGAAGCCATAAAGAACTTCCTTTAAGTGAAAAAGTATGCATGTACAGGAAAAAAACATAGTATGTATGGGGTTCAATGCTATCAGTTTCAGGCATCCACTGGGGGTCCTGGAACATATGCCTTGTGGATAAGTGGGGGCAACTGTATTTAAAGTCTTAGCTCATCTAGTCTTTAAACTTTGGAAACTCATGGGTTGTTTTCATTGATGATGCATATGCAAGATTCGTGCTTATTATTAACTCAGAATTCATTTAAACTGGAGACATTTGGTTATGAATATCATATGTATAACTAGACACACTGTGACACTTACAAGAACATAAACTGGTCTTTCCATATATATTTTTTCCAATATCTCTGAAGTCAAAACTTACGGAAAACATAGCTTATAGGAAAACTTGATGTACTGATTATGTTATCTTTACACTAATGGGCTGTTGACTTTTCTTCCCTAAAGAAATTGTGGATGGCAATGTGAAAATGACGCTGGGCATGATCTGGACTATCATCCTCCGCTTCGCTATTCAGGACATTTCAGTGGAAGGTAAACGACATGGTTAAAACTCTGATTTTTATTAAGAGACTTAGAGTAACTTGTAAACTGAGCTTACAAATTAAAATTTGAAGATGGTTTTATAAAATTGAACAGTGACTTCCATGGTTGAATGAAAGGTACATAAGTTGGTTTTTCACAAGTTTTGTATTGCTCCAGGAAAAGACACAAGCAATACTCTTTCATTCATGGGGTTGGAATCACTTTGGAAAAGATGAGCTTATGTTCAGAACAGAAGTTGCTTTTTATTTATTTATTTTTTTATTGTTAAAGATTTTATTGGGGAATTGGGGGAGGGGAACAGTGCTGGGGAATTGGGGGAGGGGAACAGACAACTTGCTGTCCTTTTGTTCTTCAGTCTAGTTGTGGAGGACGTCGCTTCACTGGCCCATGTTGGTATTATCATTGCACTCTTCCCGGCTGAGGCAGTCACTCGCCAGCCATTGGACAGCCGCTCACGGTGGCTCACAGCAGCTCATGCTGGCTGCCAGCCTCTCATGGTAGCCCATGGCAACCCACTGCAGCCACTGCAGCCCCACTGCAGCCTATGCCATTGCTGGTAACTCACATCAGCCCAGCTCCAGGTTGAACTGTTGTTCACCATCTTAGCTGTAGAGGGCACAGTGCAACTGGCCCTCACATGGGATCCGAACCAGAGCCCTGCTGTTCAGAGCTGGTGTCCCAAGCCAACTCCTAACCAACGTGCCACTCAGCCAGCCCAGAAGTCGCTTTTTAAAATGAACATTTATTGAGCTTTCTTATTGCTTATTATACTAATATATTCACAAGTATAACAGAGTTCTTTAGACTTACAGCTGAAACATTGTTTTTTTCAGGTACAAAAAAAATAATCAAAATCCAAGGTTTTTTGCTCTTCCATTCTCTCTTTCTTCCCCCAGCCCCACTCTCCCTGTCTTTCTTCCCTTCCCTTCCTTCCTTCCTCCCTTCCTTCCTTTATTCCTTTCTTCCTTTCTTCCTCCCTCTCTTCCTTCCTTCTTTCTGCATAACAGCTGTTCTGTCATTGTAATAGAGTCCCAATCTTTGGTGCTACCACTGAAGATGAAAATCTTTAGACTTTTATGCCCACTGTACCCCTAAATATTTGAGCATTTATTCAGCACTTTTGAAAACTTCAAATCGACATTCTTAAAAAATTAGAACATTGCCTATTTAGCCCTCAAATCACATAATGTATAGCTGTAGAACATATTTAAAGGTGGTTTGAATTGTCCAGTTAGCCACCCTTAACTTTGTCACCTAACAGGTAACCAGGTACCTGAATGGTGAGGGGTTGGGGGCATTGTTTATAATTCTACCTGGGACAGAGTACCCTCTGACGTTGGCCTTTTTAAGTGATTTTAGTTACTAATCAACCAGGAAACATTAAAAATCAACAATTTGCCTGCTGTTGTACCCGATGATTGGAAGCTTACACTACTTGCCTGTAAGGAGTTTCTGATCCCCTTAGATTATTCCCTTCTAGCATTAAAGCTCCATTTATATGACCTAAAAATCAAACATATTATTTATTAAAACCGCAATAACTCAGGTTCAGAATGACAGCCAGCTTGAATTAATAAGTAGTCTGGGGCTGGCCGAGTGGCGTGACGCCAGAGGGCCCCTGTTTGGATCCCACATATGAGGGTCAGTGACACTGCTCTCTACAGCTAAGATGCTGAACAACAGCTCAACCTGGAGCTGGGCTGCCATGAGTCTCCGGCATTGGCATAGGCTGCAGCCCCTGCTGCAGTGGGTTGCCATGGCCTACTGTGAGTAGCCAGCAGCCAGTGTGAGCGACCAGCAGCCACCCTGGGTGGCCGTCCAGAAGCCGGCGACTGATCTGCCTCCCCCAGGAAGAGCGCAATGATGGTGCCAACTTGGGCCAGTGAAGCAACATCCTCCACAACTAAACTGAAGAACAAAAGGACAACAACTTGTCTGTTCCCATCCTCCAATTCCCCAATAAAAATCTTAAAAAAAAAAAAAAGTAGTCTGAATTTGAAAACCTCGTACAGTGTACTTTTATTAGAGTACACTCCTTTCATGCTAATGAAAAGAACAAGATGCTTCTTATATATTTATTAAAAAAGAGTAATTTATAATAATTTTATAAATTTGATATACTTCTAAATTTAAATATTTAAATAGTTGAACCCACCTTAAAATACAAATATTATTTTTAAACATGTTATTTACACTATTGAGTCTGCTAGAGTAGGAAATCCTTTTTTAGGTGAACTTGGCCTCAGGTTTTTTCTCATTGGTTACAAATTTCACATTGTAATGATATTAATGACTTATTTCATTTCAAGGATAGCTATGATCGTATTATTCATTAGAGAGTTTTCCCAAAATTATTACTAATAATTAGATAACCAAACCACAGTAGTTTCTAAAATATCACCATAAAAATATGTTAATCTGCTTTTTAGAAGATCAAGAAATTAAATACATTCAAAAGTGGTTAATTTCATGTAGCAAAGTGCCTAAATCTCTTCAAGCAGATCTTTCAATGGCCAACATAGTAGATGATGTTGGTTTGCTGACTTATATTGTTATTTGTTTTACTTTAGGGAGTCATTTCTTAACAACCTCACTTAACTTCTGTAAGTCTACAGTAAACTCATCTTAATTTGTTTTAATGATATATATATGGAGAAAAAGATGTTGTTATTACAAACTGAACCCTTTGAGGAGCCAGTCTCCTTCAACAGAATGATGGGTCTCTTCCAAGAAATAAATGAGAGATTAATATATCTGTTGGTGAGGGCAGTCCAGATGTAAGTACATGGGGTTCCTGGGTGCGTCATACATTTTTTTCACGATAAATGACACTACCTATTTATAGCATGCGTTTTACACCCCCATCAGGGGTTCTGTGTGTGGACGAGTGTGCGCCAAATGGCCACGTTTCAGCGTTCACTTTGCCCCTGCAGGGAGCCAGGTGTCCCACAGTCATGGATATACTTGGCTCAGGCTCGTTGACCTTTTGCTGAAAGCCCGGACGTGGGGATGGGAGTGTCATCTTTGATGAGAACAGCCAATGAAACAAGGAGAGAACTTTGTTCGACATTCATAGCCTAAGAGTGTTTAGACACAGGCAGATAGAAATTAGATGACACTCACAGACTTGTAAGTCTAACTTCAGTTGCAGTTGTAAGATTTCATGGATCTGCTTTACCTCTGTTTATTTTTCTAATCTGTTTCATTTAAACTTTATAAAATACAGCATTATTTCTTCCCGATGTACTTTTCCTTAGTACATTGGCCAGGACCCAAAGGCAGGCAGCTAAGTGTATAGTGCAACAACTAGGTATGGCGTTTCATATTTCCACATGTATACCAGTTAATATATTAATACAGCTTTAGAATTGTTAGTCTTTTTCATTAACAGGAATTTTCTAGGTAAGAGACATGAACAGGAATCATTCAAATGATTCTTGTAGCACATGACATTTTGGGGAGTGTGTTTACTTCAGCTGGGTTACGGGTCGAAGAAAAGTTCAAACTAGATTGATCAACTTAGATAAATAATTGCAGAATACTTACTTTGATTTGAAAAAGCCAACCTCAAGCCCTTACTAAGATGGAAGGTGAGAACCTAGTGTTACCTAAGAGTCTACATGTTTACAGGGGCTTTCAGAATTGTTAACAGTTCAATTAGGCAGGATTCTGGGTCCTGTTAGTGGCTTTGAGGAGCTGTTTGGTGTATGTAAGTGTTTGGTGTCTTTCAGCAGTAAGTGCCATGATAGCGTTAGAAGCTCTGGCTGCCATAACAAAGCACCAGGCTGAGTGGCTTAAACAACAGAAATGTATTTCTCACACTTGTGGAGGATGGAAGTTCAAGGTCAGGGTGTCAGTGTGGCTGGTTTCTGCTGAAGGCCCTCTGTTGGCTTGTAGATGGCCTCCTTCTTGCTGTGTCCTCATATGACAGAGAGAGACAGAGAGAGACAGAGAGAGAGAGAGAGAGAGAGAGAGAGAGAGAGAGAGACAGAGAGACAGAGAGACAGAGAGAGACAGAGAGTGTGTGCGCCCGTACATGCAAGCTCTCTAGTGCTTCTTATAAGGGCAGTAATCCCATCATGATCTCATATAACCTTAATTGCCTCTTGAAGGCTCCATCTCTAAAAACCATCATGCCGGGGGTTAGGGCTTCAACATAGGAATTTTTTTGGGAAACAAACATTCAGTCCATAACAGAAGTGCAAAAGATTCGTGCGTGGACGTGCACGGGAAGTGCCTGTGGAGGGTTAAGTGGGGGGAGCTGGAGATGGCAGAGAGAGCCTTTGGGCCAAAGCGCCTAGGAGACACCTGTGCTGGAGAAGGGGAAGGGAAGGCTTGGGGACAAAGAGTCTCATTCTGCAGTGCTGTCTCCAGGCCACATCAGCCAGGCCGATTGGGGGTCCTGCTGCCTAAGTTGCTCTCAGAGGAGCCCCACATGGGGCAGGAATGTGCCTTTCCTTGAGCAGCCTGTGTCTGGAGCAGCCTGAGGAGGTGTGGCCCCTGAGGAGTGGAGGGGTGGACTCAGAGGGTGGCCTCTGGGACGCCAGCACCTGCACTGTGCTCCCAGCAGCAGCTTCTTGGTACCACAGGGAGTGGCTGGTTTTTTAACTTGGTCAAAACTCAAGTGGCCAAACTTGAAATGTACCAATAAAAGCTTTTAAGTATTATGAAATCTCTAGGTAAAAGAATAAATTGGAGACACAGTGGCCCTTGTGAATTCCATTTACCTAAGAATATAAATTATAAATGAAGTGAGTGACAGGTTCGTTAAGTCATAAACTACACACATTTTAAAATTTTTTATAAGAAAGGTAAGTTACCAATAACCCTGATGTCGGTTTTATATTTATTGTCATAACGTGCAGTTGCCTTTTTGAGTCTGTTAAGCATCATCAGAAGTCCGTTACTGGGCGCAAGGTTCCAGCCCCCATCCACTTGCCGAAACTACGAGGAGAGATGATGCATTAGGTGGCTGGTCCCCTGGGAACAGTGACCAAAGTTGGGTGAATGGAGTGGTGAGCGTTTCCCTGTGGACACTTTTCTTGGCTGTCATTCCAGAAACCTCTGCCAAAGAAGGCTTGCTGCTGTGGTGTCAGAGGAAAACCGCTCCTTATAGAAATGTCAACATTCAGAACTTCCACACCAGGTGAGCACCAGGGCCCTGGGGTCCTTCCCTCCTCGTGAGAATCGTGGGGCGGAGGGAACCATGTCTGTTTATACTGTTTCCTGCTCCTGTTGGTGGCAGGAGTAAGGCCATCGAATTTTTGGTGCTTAAAGTCTCTCAGGGAAAGCGTGTGCGGAAGGTCCAGGATGCTGGTGGAACAGCCCTGCATTTACCAGTGAATATCATGAGGCACCAGGACGGGTGGTCAGAATGAGACTGTGTGAGAAGGCGCCTTCCCGAGTCCGTCACCTCGCACTGGGAGATGGCGGCAAGGAATGGCTCCTAGTGGGAAGCAGGGGCTGTAGCGGAGTCTGATACCCCCTGTCCTAGCGACACCCTGCTCCCTCTGTCCCAGAATCGGCTTTTTGTGCTGGAATTCAAGAGACGTAGGGAAATCATATTAGAAAAATTAGAGGAACGTGAATGAATGAAATCCAGATGTCATCTGAGAGCATGATTTTGTAACTTGCTTTGGTCTCCTTTCTCAGGCAGATCCTCCGCCATTATTAGAGGAGTGGTTTAGTTTTTCAGCCTCTGGATGGTGGGTCACTTCTGAATATAAATGGGGGCCACCACCATGGAGAATGAGAATGAAGAATAAGGATGAGACACAACAGAAACTTGGGGCGGTTCTTTTGGGGGAACAGATGCCAGGTGCCAGGCACTGAGCCTTGAGTTTACAGAGGTGAGAGGCCTCCCGTGTCCCTCTGACACGGTCTGCAGGGTGACAGGACCCAGTGTAGAACGTCAGAGGTCCCAGACGTGCTTTCCACTCACCTTCTTGCTAGTGGCCCTGGGTTCCCTTCTCCTCCTGGCCCTTTGAGGAACAGAACTCCCACCCCCAGCCTTCAGGTGACACACTGGTCACCACAGAGGCGCCCATGCCAGGGGTTGTCTAAGGAACAGTTAGCACCGGTGTCTCTGGGGAGGCAGACTGGAAACCCACATCCTCCCTGCTGAGCCCCTCAGGTACCTACATGCATGTCTTTGTCTTTAAAAAAAAAAAATAGTAACCTTATGATGAAAGACAGAGGGTGCCCGGGATCTCCAAGAGCGGCTTTTTAAGTGTGTGAGAACACTTGGAGGGAAGTGTGTTCTGGACATTTCAGGGTAGGCGTCCTTCTGTAGGCAGACTCTGGGGAGAGGTCCAGAATGGAGATTGGAGAGGAGAGGGAGGAGGCAGTCGGGATTGGAGGGACAGTGGCAGAGGAGAAAGCGGGGCAGCAGCTGAGAGGCGCCTTCCCTCCAGTCACTGCCAGCTCTCCCAGCACAGACCCAGACTGGGCAGGAGGAGGGAGGAAGCCCAGGGAAAGTGAGCGTGAAGCTCAGAACCGAAGTGGACAGCAAGGGGGTGGCAGTCCTCCTCAGACCTGAAGACAGGTATTCAAGGAAGGGGCTTCAAGATCACTGTGTGAGGTTGGGAGGAAGGTGCACGGAAGGGGCCTTTCCTGCCCGAAGTCACACGGGAGGGAGTGAGGGGCCACGCCGCCCACATTTCAGGCCAGCGTGTGAGCAGCGCAGACCCTGCTGCTGCTCTCTCTGCATTAACACATGTTCCTGTTCTTCTCGACATTGTGCAGCTGGAAGGATGGCCTTGGGCTCTGTGCGCTCATCCACAGACACCGGCCCGACCTCATCGACTACTCAAAGCTTAACAAGGTTGTTCTGGGGCCTGGCATGCTGCGTCCTGCCCGCCCCCAGCATGTCGTCCTGAAAATGAGCACATCAGCACTAAACTCTGCAAACACACAGCCCCCCAGCTGGCCTGCCACACGATGCAGATGGGCAGGGTATCAGGAAATGCTTACCTGTCACAACAAGGGCGGGGCAGGACCTAACACCAGTCACCCTGTTGCCCAAATTAAGCTACTGTTTATTGATTGGGCTTGATATACTGTGAAGGCTTTATGTATATTTGTTACAGACTTTACTTTTCTCGATTGTAAATATGAGAAGAGAAGCAAATATATATATATATACATATATATATATATATGTATATATATATATATATATTTTTTTTTTTGGAGGATGAAGAAAGGTTTAAATCCTCTCACTCAGCCTTCTTTCTCCAGTCTCTTTGCCTTTTTGAAGGACTTAGTTGCAGACATAGCTACTCAGAACTGATTCATTTGTTTCTCACACACAGGGCACTTCATAATGATCTCACTGTTGGTATAAGATATTAGTTATACCCTAGAAAAGAAATTTGGGGATTTTGTTTTTTTCTCCTTTCCGAAAATTCAACTTAGAAAATTATAATTCTCCCTTTAAGCTTAAGCTTTAGGGTGCTTAAGTTTCAAATCGTTTTCAAATTCTTCCTTTAAAAGTAGTTTGAAAATGTCATCTCTGCTGGAAAAAAAGAACTCCATGCCTTGTGCATCTTGTGGCAGACAGTCTGGGCTGCCTTAGACGTAATGGTGTGGGAAGATTTAAGACCGAGGGCCTTGCCCCCACCCACGGTCCTCCAAGTGGCACTAGGGCACATTTCTCGGGCTGCTGGTGTGCTTAGCTGGCCCTTCACATCATGTTGCTGTGTTTGGCTGGAACCCACACCTGCATGATGCCCTCACCTGTGTGGCACGGATGGTTGTTGGACGGCGTCCTGGCTTTCACCACCTTGTTAGCTGTCACCTGCTTACTGGCCTGTCTCCACTGACCACAGGGCAGCACGTGCAGAATTTGCTTGTATCCTGAGATGGGTATCACAGCTCTGCGATGGAAGGTAGCCTAAGAACGGAGCACCCAGAATTTCTCAACTTTTCAAAGTGTATATTCCCTTATCCCTGATTTTGAAATGTTTCAAACATACAGACAGTGTATATATTTTTTTCAATTAATCTTTATCTCATTTGCAAAATGAGGGGATTGTACTCGATAGACCTAGTTTCACAAAAAGTTTATAATGGTCAGTTTTTATTACAAAAGGTCAACAGACCTATGGTAATTGGCCATCTATGATGGGTGAGAAAGTGATGATGCTTACATAGCTCTAGATAAGACAGTGTTATAAATAAAGGCATATATGTTTATTATATGTATGAATATATTGTTATATATTATATATATTAATATGATATGCATATATGTACATTAATATTAACGCATATATTAGTAAGTATATATTATATATTATACATACTCATTCAATCTTCATAATGTACATTAAATATAATGCACCTATAAAGTAGGAATTATATCCCAGTTTTACAGATGAAGAAAGTGAGGAATTCAGTAATCTGCTCAAGGTTACATGGCCAGTTGCTGAGCCAAGAAAACCCTTTATGGCCACATTTTATCTCTAAGTTTCAGTCTAAATGAAATAACGTTCACAAAGTCTCAGAATCATTACTCTCCATTTTTAATGCTGAATTTTTTCTTATAAATTAAAAACAAAGAGTAGGAAATGTCCACGTAGGACTCCCTCTGCTTTCAATGAAATGCTTCTATGATTTGTTTAACAACATTTAGTTCAAAATCTTTTTGCCTGAAGTAATTATATGCTCTGTGAGGCCAGGAAGCTTACTTTGGTTTCTTCACTGAGTACTATGAATACGTTTTTGAAGCCTGCACTTTTAAAATGTTTCACCATATTAAAAGCATTGTGTTCATTGCAAAGCATTGCAGTTTCTAAAATGTTTAAGAGGCTTTGATGTTAAAATTCATTAAAGTCATCCCTGGACTAATACTACTTTTCATTTTGATTTTTCTTTCTTACATCCCCCCATCCTAGATTCATAACTATCGATCTCTTTGGTGGATCAAAACAAAAAATATTAAATAAGTCTTTTAGTTTTTCAGTATTTCAGTTATACACCTATGGGTAAATTTATTTTGTTGCATTACATATACTTAACCAGTTTTACAGTGGCAGGTAAACATAATCTTAAGAATTTCTTAACAAGTTTCATTTAAAATTGCAAGTTTTTGTAATTTCTTCTGGTCTTTAACATCCAGAAACATGATTTTTGCTCTTTGGGCCATTCTGTCACATTCCTCAGTGACCTGACACTTCCACCTGGCAGCACCTTCTCTTTACCCCTTTGCTTTCTCACATTTAAGACAAGGGTGCTGAACTAAATATTCTCCATGGGCACCTTCCAGATCTTGAAAATGTATGCTTCATGATTTCATTTGGAATTATTCACATTTTGTTATTACTAGAGTTGAAAATAAGCTCTGACATATTCAGGGTGTTCGTTCCTGTTCAAAGAAAATATCTGACGCCATTCCCCCCACCTGCAGAGCCTTTGTTCTCATAAACCTTTGTTTAGATTTTTATGAATTGCGTTGTGCATGGATTGTGTGGTTTTCGCATCATTTTTGACGTTTTTTCTAAATGTTTGAAGTGAATAGGAAACGATAAGCAAGAAAATTATTTATACTGTTATGGTTTTGTGTGACTGGGAAGTTCTCTTCCCCGAAGTGAGGTATATAGAAAGCATCCATATGTCCTGCTCAAAAATACATTTTTAAAAACTGCTTGTGCTGTTTTCATGCAGGATGACCCAGTAGGAAATATTAACCTGGCCATGGAAATTGCAGAGAAACATCTGGATATTCCCAAAATGTTGGATGCTGAAGGTGAGACAAACATTGTGTTACTGACTCTTATAAAGTCTATGGACCACATAAACTGTGGCCATGCATGGGGATTTGCAAAACTTTATAGTCAAGTTACATCTTAAGAATTCATGATTCCTCAATGAGTATTAGAAGAGTTCATGTGTAGCTTGTTCATAAATTATTTTTCTCCTTTTTTTTTTTTTTAAATCCTGCACACAAACAAGCCAGCAAAGTTATAGTGAAAGGATTTGGTAAAAGGTTCAGCTTTGGCAAAGAAACAGAAAGCTTTGTTTGTGGTTTTCAAAGAAAACTTCCTATTTTAATTTTTTAACAACATAAAGTAATTTCCCTACCACATAGAGACAAGTTTAGTGTAGAAATCTTTTTGTGAAATGCTTAAGACTCCACAAGGAAAAAAGTCCTTCCTTCCAACTAGAAGTTAGGGAATCAAAATATAGAATATAGAATATCAGCCATCAGTGTACGTCTTGAACTTGCACATTTCATTTCTAATTCGTCTAAATTAAATTTAGTTTAGTTAGGTCTGAAAGAACTTCTCAGTATTTTGCAGCATCATTCATGCTGGGAAATAGTTTCAAATGCATTTTATGCCCTTGATATGTGATGAATTCATGAGCTGTACCTATGGCACACCATTTAAAGCACAAATGTGGAGACCATTCATTCATTTCATTTCTTCATGATTCACTTATCACTGAACAGACATTTATTGAGCACTTACTGTGAACAAGACCCTCTGCTAGGTAACCGCAGGGGATAAGATGTGTAAGGAAGAGTCCGGACCTCAAGGAACTTGCATTACACTGTTTGTTGTGAATATCAGTCCCTAATGGTCTGTTACTTCCACTAATTAGCATTGTTTGGAATAGCAAAGAGCTTGATTATAATTAGTAGCCAACTTTCTTTCCACCTTATTTTTGGTGATTGCATTACAGCTTCTGTAACAAATTACCACCAACTAGCTGGCTTGAAACAACAGAAACTTATTTTCTTATAGTTCTGTAGGCTATAGTTAAAACTAAGATGTTGGCAGGAGTGTGCCCTCTCTGAAGCTTCCAGGAAAGCGTGCTTCCTGGCTGCTTACAACTCCGTGAAGCCCCAGGCCTTCCCTGGCTTATGGCAGCATCGCTGTAATCTCTGACTGTCTTTACATGGCCATCTGCCCTCTGGGTCTGTCTCTGTGTCTCTTTCCCTTTTCTTATGAGGACACCAGTCATATCAGATGAAGGGCCCTCTCTACTCTAGCACCACTTCATCTTAACTTGAACATCTGCAAAAGCCCGCTACTTTCAAATAAGGTTACATTCACAGGTACCAGGGGGGTAGGGCCTCAGCATATCTTTTGGGGGCCACAATTCAACCCATAACATTGATCTTTCAATTAGGATTTTAATATTGCCCACTTATTAATTTAACCATCTATCAAACACCTATATTACTGGTGTTAACACTTGAATACACTCTTCAGAATTCTACTTATGGTTTCTCCAAAACTCTTTAGAGGGAGAAAGTCAATAAAACCATGAAGTAGCAACATAGAAAAGTTCCTTTCTCTTTTTCTTCATCTATCCTCTCTACATTTGCATTTGTGTGTTCTCTCCTTTGATGTTTCCATGCGGTAAATAATTACCCAGAGTTGACTCACTTGAATTAATTACTAAGATACTAAGAAGAAGAGAAAACTGGTGACATTTAATAAATTCATCTTCCAGTTCATTAATGCCTCCAGTTCATTAATGAATATACTACAATTCAGGGCAAGTTCAAGGTTACCATCGTTATAGCTCTGGCCTACTGACATTTTTCTTGGTTCTTAGGTTTCTCCTTGGTCTCTGAACCCTGGTTGGGGCACGTATCCATTCTGTTTATCCTTTGCAGTGGATGGGATGTCTTAGCTTTCTATTCATTTCCTCCTCCCTGTGACACATGGTTCAGAGAAACGCTCACACACTATGTTATTTTCTTTGTAGAGTAATTTCTCATAAGAACCTTCTGACTGATGAGGGTGTGGGGTACACTGTGACCTGTCTACCTACTCCGCAGATCTCCGCCATGTTACCCTTCGTATCTTTGGTGATGACATTTGGACTTACCATCACCACAGCATCATGTTAACTTTTCTTATTCCTGCCACCCTTTTATTTTCCTGTCATACCCTGCTCTCCTCCTCTCAGATTGCTAATCCCTCTTGTCAAATCCTTGCCTTCCTACCTGCTGCTGTTGACCTGACTTCCTGTCATGTGTGTTGGTCTCTGAACCCTACGTGGGAATTTTTGAGCATCTAATTGGATCTGTGGTAAAAACTGGTGACACACTGCATCATCTTAACTCTCTTCATGCTTTTAAAAGGCTATGAAAGCTGCTTCTGTGTTTTCCTCCACAAACCGTTTTTTGAGGTGGCCACCAGGTTAGATTTGTGGGTGCATATGTCATGTGTGGACTGCAGAGGGGGTCTCAGTTGACCCCTGGGCCACCATGTGTACAGCGACAGAAAGTCTCTGGGAGTGTGTACTGTTGTGTGCGTCCTTTCGAATCCTGGAGGGCATGGACACGACTGAGTTCTGAGCTAGCCATGCCCTTCTCTTTGGCAATTCTTTTATTTCTGCTGGCAGTTCTCAAAAGTACCCTGAGGAACGACTTTGCAGGTGACTTCTTTGATTAGACCCAAAGTGTTCACCACATAAACGTGTGGGGGTGGCAAGGAAGATTCATTCCTCTGACTTCTCTGAGGTGGCACTCAGTAGGAGCCTGGTGGGGTTAGAACACTGGAGCAGTTAACCTTCTTTTCTCCACACAGATTTAGTAAACACTGCCAGACCCGACGAGCAAGCCATAATGACTTATGTCTCCTGTTACTATCATGCTTTTGCTGGTGCACAGAAGGTGAGGATGTAAAACGTGAGTCACCACTCACCCCTCACCTTCTGTGTCTTAATTTTTTTTTTCAGTCGTTTTTCTCTCTCCTTTTTTTTCCCCTTTCCTCCAAGTAAGGAGACCTGTCTGGTTCTGAGGAGGCAGTCGTGTGTCTTTTTTAGTCTCCTTCGAAACTTACTTTCTGTCCACGCACCAGTGTGCTGTTCATGTTTGTTTTCCAGAAGATTCCATACTGTTACACAATCCCACATCCTTTCTATTAATACCCTCTGGAAACCAAATGACTAGGTTTCACTTTAGGGAGCTACAAGGTGTCTTTTTAACTTCATTCTGCCTAGTGACTGAGCTGAGTTTAAAGTTAAAAAGGCAAAAAGTGGTTGTTGCCAATGTGGAGGAAGAAAGGACGTGCGTCATGTGGTTCTGTTTTCTCTCTTCCTGCTGGCTAATTTGGCAGCTACTACAAATGGTAGCAAGAACCATAATGTGTACAAGCTGTGTGGCTCCTTCTCTTTAGCTGTTTTGTCACTCCTGATGATTTCTGTATATGGCACGGTAAGTATGTATAGAAGGCATTACAAGACATGCTTCTCCAGTGGCTTTCATCTTCACACAAGCAGGCTGTTTACGGGGCAGAAAGATGACAGCTATGTGGTGGGGGCGTGCAGAAGCACCAGGAGAGATGGGGCACTGGGTCTCTGCTGCGATTCCCAGCATCTCGCAAAGTGACATCTGTCACTCAGAGCAGAAGTGGCAGATGACCTGATACGGTCAAGAGGACGTGGGCCCCATAAGTCATTAGAAGTGGAAGTGAGCTCTGACATGCAGCACATGGGCTCCCATATTAATGCCTTGACTGCACTTTTAAGAGCCTATCAAGGGTGGGGGAGGAAAAAAGCCTTCATTTGATTATTTAAGAAATGAGCTGGTGCAAATCGTTCTATTCATGGACCATCACAATAGGTTCAGAATTGTGGGCCCAAGAAACACACAGAAAATCGACCGGAGAAAACCAATTTGTTCTTCCCTTTGTTCACCCTGGTTTCTGCTCTTCATGTGTGAGTGTGTGTTTTCTGTGCTGTTTTTCCCTCCCTCAGACATTGTGAACACCCCCAAACCGGATGAGAGGGCCATCATGACGTACGTGTCCTGTTTCTACCATGCTTTCGCGGGCGCGGAGCAGGTACCCAACACGCGTCGTCGGGGGCTGTGCTGCTCCGCATGGGTGTCGTGTGTGTGTGTGTGTGTGCGCGCTTCACATCTTACCTTGGAATCCAAGTGTTTTGTGATGACCTAATATGGAAAGTCCCAAACTGTGAATACTTTTTTTTTTTTTTAACAGTTTTAACTTTAGGCAGTTCCCAAAGTGTTTTTGTTTTTTTTTCTCTCTCTCTCTCTTTCCTTCTAAGATGTTGCTTTCATTTCATTGGTAAATTGTAGGAAACATTTGTGCTTTAGGAAAAAACAGGTGCCATGAACATTGAGCCACATTCATTGAGCAGTAAGGAGAAATTCACCAAGGAGAACAAGTGCCTTCCAGTGCCCTGGTTCTCCTCTGCCTAGAAATTGCTGGTCAGTGATTTCTTCTGACATCTTTCAAGACTAATCTTATTTTAAGTGAAATAGGGAAAGGATAACAGTTGTTAAAACCTCAAAGAAAAAAATCACATTCCTTAAGACAAAGAGCCCGAGGAAAATTGTGGGTGAATGTCCTTTTTTCTCCATATTCATCTGTTTCTGTCTCTTGCCCCTTCACGTATCTCTACTTGGAGAACCCTGCTAGAGTGGGACGGACAAAGGATGTATCATGACTGTGGTCTCTCTAAGACCATCACCAGCAAATGATGATAACCAGAAATCAGCTCATATTAGGGCTTTAGAGGTGAGGCTTTGGGACAGGCTGTAGCCTGGAAGCCCAGACAAGAAAGTTGCTTTTCTTGATTCATCCGGTGACCATGGTTCCGGCACTTGGCCACTCTGGGTCCGAGTTTCCCTGCACAAAATGATGATAGAGAAGGAATACCTCACCAACTTCCAATGCAGGTTAAACAAAGTCTTAAATCAAGTTCATCTCTGAGGAAGGACCCCATCTAGCAAGTTCTACGTATTTACTTCAGGAGACGCCTTCCATGAACTCAGTACAATGACATGTGTTCGGGACCCCATCATTTTTGCTTTGGTTCCTAAAGGCTAATGTTATTTAGAGAGTTCTCACCCTAGAGACCTGAGGTCAGAGAGTGCTCACATGGACATTCAGGGACCTGAGATTTTGGTTTCCTTGATTCATACATTTCTGTTACTAACTTGCTTGCTGTTTTACAGAGCTTGTGTTTTAGACTAATGGTCTCTCCCTGTTGTTCCCTACAGTATATTCAGCCTGCCGTGTAAGTCTGTGTGAAAACTGTCAAAAAGGTGTGAAATGATTCATAGTATTTAACAGACACACCCTCACTTTTATCCCACCCTAACCTGGAATCTGCACCACGTACGGCACGCCATCTCCCCGCTCCCTTCTCATGCCCACCATGTTCCGTTTCGTGTATGCGCATCCCTGTCGACAGAGCTGTCCTGTTTACCTATTGTGTTTTACAGGCTGAGACAGCGGCTAACAGGATATGTAAGGTTCTTGCTGTGAATCAAGAGAATGAGAGGCTGATGGAAGAATATGAAAGGCTAGCAAGTGAGGTAAAGGAAACAGTGCCCCCCAGCCCTGTCCACACCCACCCAGAGGGTGAGGCGCAGAGGGTGATCACGGATTGTCAGTGTTGTTTTCTTTGCATTTTTCATCTCAGATGAAATAAAAGTAGGGAACTGTAGTTGAACTCAGAGGTGGTTCATCTTGCAGCAACATAATGATTGGCACAGAGGTAACCCTGATGGTCTTTCCAACCATCCCAAAGCGTACAGGTAGTTTGCATGTTTAAGAAGTAGAATGTGATTTTATTCTCAGTCTGGCACCTCGAGGGTTGGGTTCCCCTAGATGACATGGCACTATGTGTTTTTTTCCTGCTTCACTGGCTGCGGACACCATATAGGCTGCTCCCCATGTTCAGAAGCCTTGTCCACAGTGACCCAGCTCCAAGGAGCTTGCCCAGCCTGTGTGAGGCGTGACTCAGCCTGTGTGTATAAATATCTAGCAGGAAATACAGGAAGGCAGAGCCCTCCGTCCAGATGCTTGCGCATGAGTTTCCGTGATGCCTTCCTACAGCTGGTCAGCCAGGTTCTCGGTTAGAATAGCACTTTCCATGTTGTTCTTTTGTTCTTATTTTAGCATCAATAGGAACTCAGCGGTCTCATCATGGCCACTAGAGTGTTTTCCCCACACAAGCTACGATCTGAGTGAGGCCCATGGCCACGTCCTCTTTAAATGGAGCTCAAGCCCAGTCACACGTATATGAGACCAAATAATTTTTGCCCTGACTTAATTTAGCTGATATTTGGTCTGTTCTGGGAAAGGTATGAGGACACTTGGAATAAATCTTACCAAGAAGTCGTCTATATGCATCCAGTCTAACAATGCTGAGTTTATATTTTCACACTGTTGCTGCGGGGAGAGTCCATTTGGTCTCCTTGTTTAATGTCTGTGATCAGCTTTAGAAGCGCGACCAGTACTGGAGGACTCTGGTCCTCAGTAATTATATCCTTCCTTTTCCTCCTCAGACCCTCAGGCTGTGGGCACATCACCATTTAAATTAATTTTTATTCTTACCTGTTGTCAACTTGTAAGTGATCAAAGTGTAAATTATTTGTGGCTTTTTAGTAGGTCATTTTTAAGACTTTGGTGGCAATTCAAGAAAATATACTTTGTCCTTAGGAATTCACTCCCATTCTCACTTGCATCGTGTGGATTTCCTTGAACGTGAGCTATCAAATTAAAATACACTGTGGCGTTGAGTCAGTCCCAGATTTACAATGCATTTGTCTAGTAAATAAATTCATTAGATTGGAGCTTGTTTACCATACAAATACATTTTAAGTTAAACCCGATTTTTTGCTGATTTTATTACACTACATTCCGCCACGTCAGGTGGGGTGTTTTTTGTTTTTTGTTTTGTTTTTGTTTTTTTTCATTTGAAAGCTCCATCCAGCATTTGTCTGCTAATGTCTGGTCCCCAAGTTTCCTGTAAATGTCACATTTTTGTAAAACATGACTCGTGCTGACTCTAAGTTTTCGACCTGCATATGGTGTTGTTGGGGTGATTGCTGGTGGCCGTGGGTAGACACTGATGATTTCATCTGTGCACAGAGGTGCCTTTCCTCTCCTTTTAGTCAGGTTATTTTACTTCTGTAGTTCTAGGAGCATTAGGTTATTCCATTCCAAATTGTTAAGTGCCTCTGTTTTTTAACTAACGTGGGCAGTTGGCTGGTGTTTTCAGCAGTACTTGTGTGTTTTGGGAACAGCTTTTGGAATGGATTCGCCGCACGATCCCCTGGCTGGAGAACCGGGCCCCCGAGAAAACCATGCAGGCCATGCAGAAGAAGCTGGAGGACTTCCGGGATTACCGTCGGAAGCACAAGCCCCCGAAGGTGCAGGAGAAGTGCCAGCTGGAGATCAACTTCAACACCCTGCAGACCAAGCTTAGGATCAGCAACCGGCCCGCCTTCATGCCCTCCGAGGGCAAGATGGTGTCGGTGAGTGGCCCAGGGCCAGGAGCCCCTCTTTTTGTAAAGTCTCTTTCCTATGGGCTGCTGAGAAGGAGGCATTGCTTCTGTAGTCTTCTCAGTTTATGGACATAATTTGGGCCCTGCAACCACTTCATCCTTGGTATTTCCTCCTGACCGCCATGCAGCTCTTGACTCCTTACTGCACTGGCATGGTGCCTTGTAGACAGACAGCAAGGCCTTAATAAATTCCGAGGACGGGCCCTTGTCCTCTCCTCCCCGCCTTACAATTGGCCGCATCTTTCCATCAAGTTGACCAGCATCTACAGCAAGTGTCCTGTGTTCCCTGCTGTCACGACACACCCATTCCTCCTTCTCCAGGGCTCAGTCCTGCATTTACCGCCCTCTCTTTCCATCATCAGTTCCTTCCTCTCTACTGAACCACTCGCACCAGCACACACAAGTTCTCTAGAACCTGCCAAACAAAAGACCTGTGATTCCACATCTTCCTGTCACAACTGTCCTGTTTCTTGGCTCCCCTTCACAGCAGAACGTCTATAAAGAGGTCCTTACGGGACTGATTTTCAGGAGCTTTCTGCTCCTCTGCTTCTTTTATTCTTCTTCCTGCAGTGAACTGGCTTCTGTCCCCCTCCCCTGAGACTGTTCTCACCAAAGTCAACAGCAACTGTGTTGACGGTCCAACCAGTCATCACTTCTGTTGTTCTCTGTAGCTTCAAGCCCTCTCACCGTCACCTCCTTCCTGAAGCTCCTACCGCTCTTGAACTTACTGTTTTCTTCCATCCTCACCAATGAGTCCTTCCAGCGGCTGCTTGAAGCTTTGCCTCCTCTGCCCAGTCTGTAGATGGATGCCCCTGGCTTCGTGCTCACCCTCTTTTCTGTCCTTACACCCTCCGGGTGATCTCGCCCAGGCCCGTGGCTCTAACCACCACCTAAATGCTGATGCCTCCCAAATTTTAATCTCCAGCTCTGACTTCTCCTGAATTCCAGGTTCATGTATCCACTTGGATGTCTCAAAAGCATCTCAGACCTAACATATCCGAGAGTCCCCCGCAGTGTTCTCTTCTTAGTAAATGGCATCACCACCCTCTTGTTACTAAAGCTCCAAACCCAGGTGTTACCACTGACCCTCTCTTTCTGTCACTTATTTCATCTAGTTCCTTGGCCAGTTCCATTGGCTCTACTTCCAAATTATATCTTAAATCTGTGCCCTTCTAGCTACTCCACTGCCATTGCCCTATGCCAGGCCACCATCCTCTCTCCTCAGACCCTGCAGTAACACTCTCACTGGCTTTTCTTCTTTTTTTGCCCCTAAAATTTATTCTTCACACAGCAACTGCCACTGTCTTCTTAAAATATAAATCAAAGTGTGTCTCCTTTTTTCTCAAAACCTTTCGGTGACTTCCCCAATATTTAGAATAAGGTATTTAGACTCATTATCCTGGCCTACAGGATCCGGCATGATCTGATCTTCACTCGCCACATGGCCACAGAGCCTGCTGTGGTTCTTCCCACACATGAGCCCTTACCTCCCCCTGCCCCACCCCCACAGCCCCAGCCTTTAGCTTGTTCTGAGGCCTGGAGCTCTCACCCCCATTTCTGCTCATAACTGGCTTTTCTGTCATTGAAGTCTTGGCTCAGATCTACCTCCTCAGATGGGAGGAGTCTCCTCTAAGTAACCTGCCTACAGGAACCATTCCCATGGGCTCTTGGCATCCCCTGAAACTGTTTTGTTTTGCTGTCACAGCATATCACTGTCTGAAACAAACTTGTTTAATTACTTATTGTCTTTCTTCCCCGACCATCATGGAGGCTACACGGGGGCAGGGACTTTGTAGATGTTGCTTCCCCTTGTATAAAGTCTCTGGCTCGTGCCTGGCGTGTGTATGATGTCCAGGAAACAGCTGGTGGCCGGCTGGCTGGCTGAGCCCAATCACTGAGTCAGAGTCGTCGTGCATTGAGTCGCTTCGAGGCATATCTTCTGGCCCGAAAGTGAAGGCTGTGTCATCTTCTGTCCACATCTGGAGGGGTATCAGGCATTTGTTCATTGATGAGAATAATTATATTAGTTTTGAAGGGCCCCGGTGATAACTGGACCTAGATGCTAGCATGTTTGAATGGTTATGGGGGGAGGTGAGGGAAGGGAAGGACAACACTGTCGTGTGCACAGTGGAGGGGTTCCCAGGGACGCCAAGAGGCCGGAGTGTCACGGTCAGGCCTGCCCTGTCCTCACACCCCAGGACATCGCCGGGGCCTGGCAGAGGCTGGAGCAGGCGGAGAAGGGCTATGAGGAGTGGCTGCTCAACGAGATCCGGAGGCTGGAGCGTGTGGAGCACCTGGCCGAGAAGTTCCGGCAGAAGGCGTCCACGCACGAGACCTGGGCTTACGGTGAGCGGCCCGGCTTAACCAGGGTTTTGAACAATTGGAGTTGAGCTGTGGACAGAGCCACAGGGGGCACTTCCTCCTAACTCCGTCCCTAATGCCTGTGACCCTGGGGTCATGTGTCTTCGCCTCTCTCCAGTCTGCTGTCTTGTATTAAACCGCCTCAAGAGGTGGGTATGAAGATTTATTTTCTAATCAAGCAGATAATTTTTTTTTTTTTCACATAACGGCACTCGAAATGCGTTCTTCCCACTCTTACCTACAGGGGGCCTGGCTGCCTCCTGCCGCCCCTACTTTTTTCTATTTAATTCCACAAGTGCCTGTTTATTCCATAACTGTGAGTCAGACAGCCTGGCTTCTTCCAATGGGATATTTATTAAGTGCCATAAAGCAGCATAATTTCCCCGTTACAGAATCTACTTGGAAGAGAAGAAGGCGGGGTATTGTTTTCTAGTCTTAACTTCCTCACATCACTTTGGTTCGTCTTTGGCCTTGCACATTGCTGTTCCTGTAGCCATGAACTGTGCCATAATATTTTCTGGCTTGCTGCTGCTGTTCGCTGAGGTAGAAGAACAAAACACTGTCTCATCACAGAATAATCTATTTTGGGGAAGGTCAGAGAGGGTCCCCTCATCTTGTGGTTCTCTCTTGCTTTATTATTGTTTGACTGTCGGGATTGTACACGACACTTATAGGCATCAGCCTGGAGCTGGACAGTCGGAGCCTCAGCTTTGACACTTCTCAGTTGTGTGCGTGGGAGGAGTTTCTAGCCTCTCAGTGCCTCAGTATCCTCTTCAAAGTGGAAATGACAGTCATACCTCCCTCACAGGGTTTTGATGAAGATTTAACTGTTCCATATGGATAAAGTATTTAAACCAGTATCTGATACATAGTAAGTGCTGTGTCATCGTTGTTAAATATATGATCATTTGCTTTCCATTTCTAGCTTTATGGAATTATATTCTTAAAGGTCGTCAACCAGGGAATGAATGTGGGTCTGGTTATAGCCATAGCCATTGTTCGATTAAGAAATATTTATGGGAAACTAGGTGGTGGCCCAGAGAGAAAAGTTTCAAATTTATTAGGAATAGAACCACAGGCTACATTTAACCACAGAAAGTAAGGCTTTCAAACCAAAAGAATTGGGGTGAAGTTTGAACTGGTGGATAGGCAGACAGAGTACAAGTGTTTTATCTGACGATGTCAGGTGACTCTGGGAGCTAATAATTACTAATTTAACTGAGCATCACAGTGGAAAATCACATACTTGTTACCTAGGATCATAAATAAGGAGGTTTGTTATTTAGAATGTAAGCCAGCTGGCTTCCCCCGCTTAATTTATATTTGTGGTCTTTCATCGTTAGAAGAATGACAGCGTGAAGCAGTTGCAATGTTGCCTCCGTGTGTTCAGTCCCCGAATTCTTTCCCTCTTTCCCTTGGTTAACAATCGCTTAGAACTTGGCGGGTTCAAAGAAGCTGAGGTGTGAAACGTATTCACACCCTTGCTACAACCTTCGCAGGCAAAGAACAGATCTTGCTGCAGAAGGATTACGAGTCGGCGTCGCTGACGGAGGTGCGCGCCCTGCTGCGGAAGCACGAGGCCTTCGAGAGCGACCTGGCGGCGCACCAGGACCGGGTGGAGCAGATCGCGGCCATCGCGCAGGAACTCAAGTATGTGCAGGCGCTCTGTCCTCCAGGGACCCCTCAGGCATGGGGACAATGGAGGGACTCCCCCGATAGTGTCCTAGAGCCTTCACAGGGAGGGGCGCAGGCCTGCCTTTGCTTTCCTATGTGGGAGGACTCTGGGATGGAATTGGTCCTGTTTTTTTGTTTTTTTGTTTTTTTTTTTTTAAACAGATGAGCTGCTTTAGCTTTGGCTCTTTGGTTTGTGGTAAGATCCCTGTGTCCCCCAATCCAGCAGTACCTCAACCCCAGCACAGGCAGCTCCACTTCCACGAGGATGAGAAAGAAGTAGGGAGGCCTGGAGCACAGCTCAGAAAGGCGGCCTCACCCAGGCCTGGGTGGGTGCAGGAGACAGACCACATTGCATGTTCAGAAACCAAAACAAAACACAAAGTACTGCCTCACCTTTGAAGGAGGAGATATTACAGCCCCACTTATCTATATCACCAGATAGGTGCCCTGCTTTGTGCAACTTCCGGGAGAGGGACCTCCTTGCAGTGTTTCTAAGTTTTTTTAAAGACCCTTGTCTCCTTTGGCAAATATAAAATTTCATTCCCACTCCTTTCTCCCTCATTATAATCACCAGTATGTCTATAACATTTTTAGAGCCTATCACATAATGGTAACATAAATCTTTATTTTTAATGTGTTACATTTTAAAACTCCCATGTTCCTCACTTTTGACAAGAGCAAGCTCTTTAATTAACAGATTGGCCTCTTTTCAGAATAGCCTATTTTTCAGCCTTGCCCATATCAACCCTTCATCAGTGCTCGTGGTCGTCATATCCAATCTGTGCCCATATTTGTGGCCTCTACATTCTCTGACTTTTTACTCTTCTTCAATGTTGGGTGTTTGGCTGCTCATTAACAATCACAAATAAAATAAAGGGATGAAAGAAACTCAGGCCATTTAATGCTCTGTAATAGCTCCCGTGAGCAATTTGAAAGGGTTTTAAGTGTTGCCCATAAAATGTAAGTAATGATTATTTATTATTATTATTATTATTATTATTATTATTATTAACCCTTGTATCCCCAAAGACTATTTCTTCACTCAGTCAAGAAAGGAACCACACACAGAATTTAATTCTGGGCTTATCTTAATGTTCCTACTGTCCCTGTCCTTGTACCTTCCCTAAACTCATAAATCAAAGTATGTGTGCAGTTTTCAAAGTGCACAAAAAATAGTGTGCCCAGTTATGCAAACCCCAACTCCCTGAAAGCAGTTATGTGTAGAACTGACACATCCGAGTTAGAGAGAAGGGGGAGAAATGTTTACCTTGAAGACGACCTTGAGCCACAAGCTTTGGTGTCTTCATTGTGCATCAGTGGAAGGATTCCTAAGTTTTGTTTTTGAAGTATTTTTTCTCTTTAATATTTGCATTTAGAAGAGCCATAGCCTTCTCACTTTGCATTCAAGGCTGTGCCAATTGCTGGTGTGTTTTGGTTTTTTGATTATAACTCTGAGCACACAAATATTAGCCCCTCTCAGTCAGTGAAGTGTCTGTGTGTGTAGAAAGCTGCTCTTAAGAACCCAACAAGCTTTAATTAATTCAGTGACAGGGAGCTTCTTAGCCACTAGAAGAATGCTCCTACCACAACCATATGCATCTCCTTTATCAAGTAACAGAAACAATAGCATTCAATAAGGACGAGGTAGTATTATTTAAGAAGGAAAAAAAAACAAGTAGTGAACAATCATTGCCTGAATTTAAGGTCTTATTAAAACAAACTGAGGGGCCGGCCGAGTGGCTCAGATGGTTAAGAGCTCGCTCAAAGGTTTGAGCTCTGAGCAACAGTGGTTCGAGTCTGGCCCAAGCTGAGCTGCCGCTGAGTTGCCAACAGGTGGCAAGATGGCTCAGCTAAAAAAAAACAAAAAACCAAACAATCTGAGGTTTGTTTATTAAGAAATAAAACACTTAAGCTTTGGGAATGGATGTGGTAGAATAGGGAGTTTCCTGAAGTGCGATTGCCTGGACTGCTTTGAAGGCAAAATCTAGTGAAGATATCTTTAAACCTCGCGAGTCTCGCTTTCATCTTAACTAGAAGACTTAACCAAGTTTTTGTACAGAATTCAAACTCTTTATCCCTGGAGATACCCAGTTAACCTTTTAATTGAGAATTTACTTGAATGCTAAGTTCATATCACGTCACAAAGCGCCTGTCAGGGTGCCTGGACAGGCTGGTGAGGAAGAGGAATTTATTTAGTGGGAAATCGTGTTCTTGCTGTCACACAAGTGACATAAGACAAGTCGGAACCTCTTTGTCCAGAAGAGGAAGGGCTCTGTTTGGCTAGGCGTTAGATGTCCCTCGGGTGCTAGAGTCACAGTGCCCTCCCTGGTCAGGATGCTCATCCCGCCGCGACACTGGTGGCCCCATGCACTGGCAGCCCCATGCCCTTTGAGAGGAGCCCAAGGACACAAGGGGTGCAAGCTGACACCTCCTCCCCCTTGCCTCATTTTGACGTTCCAGTCACTGTGGCTTCAGCAAGGCCCATTGGACTGTCCTCCAGGTCAGATAGTTGGCTTCACTTACAGGTCCACGGCCACTTAAAAATAATGCTCTCTGGGGGCCTGGCCAAGAAAACGGAGGGAGAATAAAGGTAGCCTGCGGCATCGAGAAGACAGCATTTCTCTCTGTTTGGAAATCTGTTCACCAGCAAGAGTTTCTCTAATTCTTCTTGTAATCCATCAGAATAGCAGTCATGTTTGCTATGATGATGATTAACAGAACCCTGAAGTATCTGCCAATTCTCTATCAGATCTTTTTAAAAAGTATATACCCTCTTTGACCCATGTCCATTTTCCCTCAAATAAAGCTAATTATTTTCACCTCTCATAGTGAACTGGACTATCATGATGCTGTGAATATCAATGATCGGTGCCAGAAAATTTGTGACCAGTGGGACAGGTTGGGGACACTGACACAGAAGAGGAGAGAGGCCCTGGAGGTGAGGCCTTTCAGCCACCTGTTGATGTGAACTCTTTTAATAGAGGCTCTTTAATTAACTCTCTATTATTTTTCTTTATTTTTATTTTTTTTTTAAAGATTTTTATTGGGGAATTGGGGGGATGGGAACAGTGCTGGGGAATTGGGGGAAGGGGAACAGACAAGTTGCTGTTGTTTTGTTCTTCAGTCTAGTTGTGGAGGACGTCGCTTCACTGGCCCAAGTTGGCACCATCATTGTGCTCTTCCCGGGCAAGGCAGATCAGTCGCCGGCTTCTGGACGGCCGCTCACTGCGGCTGCTGGCCGCTCACGCTGGCTGCTGGCTACACACGGTAGCCCATGGCAACCCACTGCCACAGGGGCTGCAGCCTACGCCGTCGCCGGCGACTCAAGGCAACCCAGCTTCAGGTTGAGCTGTTGTTCAGCATCTTAGCTGTAGAGGGCAGTGTCACTGGCCCTCATATGTGGGATCCGAACCGGGGCCCTCTGGCGTCCCAAGCCAGTTCTTAACCATCGCGCCACTCGGCCGGCCCATTAACTCTCTATTATTAATTTCTTGTTTCTCTGTGGCATGATGTGTATAAAACAAAACAAATTGTCCAGTGAAAGGATCCTTCAAAGAGAGCATGAAAAGTAGGAGAAAGAGGGAAACGAGACATTGGTAGTTTTGTACTATAATGTATCCATACAGCAGTGACATAGACTTTTGAATTAAAAAAAAAAATCCAGGAGTGAGGAAGATTGTGGTATAAACCCATTTTGTACCAAATAGTAATTACAGCGAATTTCCGTTAAGTCCTTATGTAAGAGTAAACTGAGCTTTGACTGAGCCAGGATTGGGAAGAACTTGACTTGAGATATGCAGAGGGAAATGGCAATAAATGCTGAAGTAAGGAAAAGTGACGTGAAACAGAGTCAGGATGAATCTGGCCTTATTAAAGTATAGGCTTGGATAAACAGCAGTAAGTGGCTGGCGTTGAACTATACAATGGTCCCCCCTTCTTCGCGGGGGATACGTTCCTAGCCTCCCAATGGAGGCCTGAAACCACAGACAGTACCGAACCCTATATATACTATTAATATGTTTTTTCTTATACATACATACCTAATGATAAAGTGTAATGTATAAATTAGGCTATTTTAGGATAGTAATAATAGCTAATAATAAAATTGAACAGTTATAATAATATACGGGAATAAAAGTTATGTGAATGTGGTCTCCCTCTTTTTCAATATCTCATTGTCCTGTACTCACCGCTTTTATTATGATTATGGGAGATGACACAGCGCCTGTGTGGTGAGATGACATGAGGTGAATGACATGAGGTGATGTAGGTCGGAACGAGGATCATCTGCTTCGGGGGATCCTGGATCACCGAGCTTGATGATGCTGATGGTTGGATGTCAGAAGCAGATGATGTCAGTGGTTGGGGAAATTTAATATTTTCTGACTGCGGTTGACCATGACTGAATATGGAAAATGAAACCATGGGTAAGGGGAGACTACTGCCCCTAACTATCGTTCACCATAGAAGACTCAGACAAAGTGAAGGAAACAAGCAGTTATCAGTTTTCTGAGTCTTTTCACCCTGACTCAGATGAAATATTAAAATATGTGATTTCAAGCTTCCTAGATGCCAAATGGCTGTTGCACGTCCACGTGAAGAAAGAAATGTTGATAGACAGGAAAGACCAGGCATGTAACAGATACAGCCCAAATATTTTAGAACAGGAGGAAAAAAATGAATCTAATTATGGAAGAGGTATGATACGGGATACTTTCAATAATAACTAATAATAAAGCAGAACAATTACAGCAATTGTCGGCTCCACCTACTAGTAAATTAGTCCTCTTACTATTGGCTCCCCGTCCTCTCCGCATATGAAACAAGCACAGGCCATCTCTGTCTTGTAGCCTTGTGATTTCATTTGCTTAGAAAGGCAAAGGAAAAACCTGTGTTCAGTCCTGAATGAGGATTAGAGAACATTAAGCTGTAGTTCCTCCTGTCGACACGAGGTGTGTGACTTTTGGGAAAGGCACGTATCTTCTCTGCACACTGTTGACTAAAACGAGGAAGGTGACCTGAATTTTCTGTCACCAAGTGTAGTTAGGGAATCACACCCACTAACTTACAAAGCGAGTTACTAGGTAACCCCCGTGGAGTCTCAGTTTTCAGAAAGGTGGCATGTAGTGGGTTATTTTGAGTACTTTCAAAACAAGGCTACTCTGGATGCTATCAAATCCTTCTTTGATTGAGAAGGCACTTCACAAACCTGCAGGGCTCAGCCTGATTATTTGAATATTGGTTAATCGTGCAGATAGACACCTTCATGATGAGAGTGTTGTGATTCACAAAATGTCAGACAATAATGTATTGCTCTGGAATGCATATTTACATGTTCAGAATTTCTATTATTTAATCTGTGATAATGCTTGATAATCTTCAGAGAACTGAGAAATTGCTAGAAACCATCGACCAGCTTCATCTGGAGTTTGCCAAGAGAGCTGCTCCTTTCAACAACTGGATGGAAGGCGCCATGGAGGACCTGCAAGACATGTTCATTGTCCACAGCATCGAGGAAATCCAGGTACCTGAACCCCACTCTGTACTCCTAGTGCACTAGAAAGGGACTGTCATTTTAAAAACTTAAAAGCGTGGGATTTTGTTTGTTTCATGTTTTTGCTAAGAAAATGTGGCTACCAAGCTCACATTACCCTTTGAACCTTAGCTTATCAGATAATGGTAATGATAAGTCGTTCAAAAAAGAATGTGGAATCATTGAGCAAAATAGACATAAGTATTATTTATGTCTATTAATGGAGTTATTTATGGCAAGTTATGAGCTTATTGGCTGCTGAGTTAACTACGGTGCAAAATATGTGCTATTACTGTTTATTGAGATCTACTGAGTTTTGCCAGATCACAAGTCATTGGAAACAATGTATGAGCACCTTCTGCCTCCCATGATCCAAATGTCCTGCTTCTAAACGTTATAAACAAGACTGCTAAGCAGTCATGTTATGGGGGACACTTACCCTCCAATAGCCAGGACCAATTTATTTAGACACCATTGTACAGTGAATTTGATGTATAATAGAATATAAAGAGAAAATACTTCTCAGGTTTTTTTCTGTAAAATGGATAAGTCATCAAAAGGAATCCAAATATAAAGGAAGTACTGAAGGTTGTGATTTGAACCCCCTTCTCTCTACCAAGGGTTTGCACCTGGGTGAAATGGGAAAGATATTGAACATAGCGTTTGTCTTCTGGAAGAGGCTGTGATGGTGTTTCTTGCATGCACTCTTAGCAGAGGTTAGCAACCTGAAATCATTTATGTTTGGAATAAGTAAGACTTATAACATGCCTGGGGAACATACTCAATGCACTATGTAGTTTCTTTGTTTAGTGACAAGTCTGCTGGCCGCTGGTCCATTGCAGCACCTAAAGTGAACATTCGCTTTGCACTTGAAGGTGGTCCACTTGACATCTACATACAGCTGAACTGAGGGGGCTGCTGTCTCACAAGTTAGGGCCAAATGATTGCCTTGATAGATGGACAGTTTGTAAAGCCTCAGGGGAAAGAGTTGGTTTCTGTGCCCTTTTCATTTTGAGAACTAGGGATGTACTTCCTAGTGGTCGTTAGGTATAAAGGCAGCAAATGTTAGATACTTTTGTTGGATTTCACAGGTAAAACTGTCATTAGAAAGGGCAGCGAAGTTAAGTTCTGCTCCTTGGCAGAAAGATAAGGCCTAAATAATAGCTGAGGATTGAAAATAATGAAAGCAAACATGATTTTTTTAAAGAAGAAAACATTGTTTTTTGAAGACTTTGGATTTATAGCCATCAATTAAATAGTCATCATGATATCTTTTTCCCATTTCAAGGAACTTGACTTTTGTGTACCACATACGGTAGCTTTTCTAAAACACCCAGAATTTGTTTCCCCCCAGAGGTTCCTGACATTAGAAAGGCCTTCGTGTGTGTGTGCAGATGGGAACACAGAAGCCTGTAAAATTCACACTGAACTAAGACGGGCTTCTACCCACTTGTGTCTCTGGTTAGAGTCTGATCACTGCGCATGAGCAGTTCAAGGCCACGCTGCCGGAGGCAGATGGCGAGCGGCAGTCCATCATGGCCATCCAGAACGAGGTGGAGAAGGTGATTCAGAGCTACAGCATCCGCATCAGCTCCAGCAACCCCTATAGCACTGTCACCATGGACGAACTCCGGGCCAAGTGGGAAAAGGTGGGTACGGAGGGTTGGGCGTGGGACCGGGGGCCTCCTGGAAGCCCAGGTTACGGGAAGAAGTAAAAACCTGGGGGAGCTAGCTTGCTGGATTTTACATCATGATCATGGTTTTCATTCACCCCAAATTTCACAGGTGAACAATGTTAAACTCTTCAATGTCAGCAGCTTCTGTGATTTGTAAGGGAAGGACATAGAGATAATTTTCCTTAAGGAAAATTTTATAAATTTTAGCAAAATCAGAACAGGTTATGATACTAATACCATAAGGGGAACTATTTTTTAAACCCCATCTAAAAATTTGGTGGAATCAACTTATACTGCTTCCTTAAAGAATTTTTAGGATATGGGATAGATATGTCCCAAGTGTGTGTGACTTTTCAATGCAGAAAAATTGCTTAGAAAATTATATCTGGGAAACTAAAATAATCCTCTTAACTTGCTGCCTTTTAAATTGTGGGAAACTGTCTTCAAATTCAGTGATAGTCAAATGCGATCATTTGAGCCTTTTGTCTCATTCTTAAGAAAAATCTATTTTCATGGTTAAACTTACAGCATAATCATTTCATATGCTAACACATAGTCTTTAAGGAATATGTCCCATGTGGGTGTGAGGGGGCGTGCTGTGAAAGCACTTATGCAACAATTGTTTAGTTACAAACAACGTGAAAGAGAAAAACAGGCGTGAAAGAGAAAAACAGGCGTGGGAAGGAACGTGTGTCCACAGTAGTAATGGCATCCTGGAGCTTTAAGCTCAGCTGTGGTCTTCTGACAGCCACATGCAAAGGGAACATGTTCAGCTAAGTAGTTTCCTTGAAAAAAGGGGAAATGCATCATTTCTTAAAGTGAGACAAGCTTTTCTCCCCTCACTAAGTTATAAAGCAAATTGGCCAAGCGGATTTCTGTAAAAAGGGAAGTTGAATAATCATGTCTTCAGCAGCAGTTTTGCAGAAGACACAAAAAGACTTCTGAAGTAGCTCTTCTGTCTGTTGATCCAAAGAGAATGGAGGATGGCATTAAAATGCAAATCACAAGGCACAAATGGCAT